GCCTAAGGCATTCAAATAATTCTCAAAGTCCTCACCTTTTTTTTATACCTTTTTCTCACCAATCTCACCAACACTCAAATAAAATAACAATCCATAGAGTCATGGTGGAGTGTAAGGAATTTATCTATGGGTTATAAGTTTATTTTAATTTCATACACTGCAGGAAATTCAGCTTTTAAACGCCGCTATAAGTGTCAAAAACGCCGCTAATTCTTTTTGCGACGCTTAGCACCAAACGCCGAGGACGCGGCCGTCGCTATAACTTTATGATGTTTTAAAAACGTCGTTATATTAGTATAGGCGGCGTTTTCTTACTTGACAATATCATGACGTCATTATGGTATTTAGCGACATTTTTTAAACGCTGTCATATCTTTTTTTAAAAAATCTAACCGTTAATATTTAGTGTTTAAGTGGCGTTTTTAAAAAACGCCGTGATATATCCTTTGTTTTTTTTTTTTGAAATTGTGCTAATTTATGTGATCAAACTAAAAAAATACATATAATAAAACTGAATATCACTAATATGAAAAAATAACTTACATTCAAATAGCAAATGCATCATTAATTCACTTTCCCATTCACCAATCACCATTACCCACAAAATAACATATCTGCAAATTATATTTTAATATTACTCCCAAAATAACATATCCAAAAATTGTATTCACAATTCTCAACCAAAAAATTAATTACTACTTTGTATTCAAAGCCACAAAATAACATTACCCTCTTCTCTCTCTCTCTCTCTCTCTCACCACTCCCTCCCCCATTTAACACAAAAAATAAGAAGAAAGTGAACCAAAACACCCAACTCCCCAATCAGATCAAAGGAAAAAAAAGAAAAAGAAGAGAAATAAGAATCCAAAGGAAAGCCCTCATCCATCCTTCATTGTCATTTTGAATCGCTCTCCATGCTGCTTCCCATGGCCTTCAATCCTCTCGGTCTCTGCCAATCATAAAACATAATAATAAACCAAGAAGAAGATCCAAACCATAATTACCATGCACCCAGCTTTAGTTTATAAGTTAACTTATTGGCTTCTAACTATAACTTCACCCATGGATGAAATTATTTTCTAGAGTCCAGTCAGCTATTTAGGATCTCACATCACTCAATTGTCTTCCCTACAGTACAACCAGCCAACCTACAATAAACCAAACTACAATAAACAATTAGTTATGAACTAGAAGCTCACCTCACTCAACCCACAATCTCACATCACTCACTCAAATGTAACAACAAAGTTTTGTAATATATTATGGAGAGAGTCAAAATTCCATATAAGAAACTCTAATTCCTCAAAGAAAATGTCAAGAAATACAAGAAAGTAATGAATGCAGATGGTGTGGATCCAGGGAAGCCAATTTTTAACCCATAAAACAAATGCAAACATTCCTTTGAAGACACCTCAATCCTGAAGGCAGAACACTGAAAGCAGAGGAAGAATGCATATTATTGTAATAGTTTCCTTTAGTTGTCGAACAATCATAAAAATTCTTAGTGTTTCTTTAGTTATCGGGCAATCATATCAAATCCAATACACAAGACCATTATAAATAATGTAGAAGAGAAATAATGTACACTGAAACACAAAAGCATAATTATATACAGTAAATCCCATTCAACTGGATATCTAGACTACATATAAGATCAATGAAATATTCCATATCTTCAAAACTAGAAAGGTGCCATCATCATTATTTCACATATATTTATGAGCACATATCAGCATCATAAAAAGTTCAAAAAACTATTACATTCAGCAGCACTGTCACGTATGTTTGACTGCTCAAGCAAGTGCTGGTAACCAACTCATGTTGTTCAATGCTAAAATAATTTAATGACATAATTTGTCTTGGGCCATATGAATTTATTGTGCACATTTTATACACACAGCAGACATCTGGAGTTCTAGTAAATACTTTATGATTCTTAACTCATTCCCAGATTACTTTCCATCTTTTTAAAATTTGAACACCCATTTTCTCTTATTTTAGTTCTTTTTCTTTATCCAGAAGATCAAGGCACTGGACATTATTTAGATGCAATTCCAACAACAAAGTTTTGTAATATATTGTGGAGAGAGTCAAAATTCCATATAAGAAACTCTAATTCCTCAAAGAAAATGTCAAGAAATACAAGAAAGTAATGAATGCACATGGTGTGGATCCAGGGAAGCCAATTTTTAACCCATAAAACAAATGCAAACATTCCTTTGAAGACACCTCAATCCTGAAGGCAGAACACTGAAAGCAGAGGAAGAATGCATATTATTGTAATAGTTTCCTTTAGTTGTCGAACAATCATAAAAATTCTTAGTGTTTCTTTAGTTATCGGGCAATCATATCAAATCCAATACACAAGACCATTATAAAGAATGCAGGAGAGAAATAATGTATACTGAAACACAAAAGCATAATTATATACAGTAAATCCCATTCAACTGGATATCTAGACTACATATAAGATCAATGAAATATTCCATATCTTCAAAACTAGAAAGGTGCCATCATCATTATTTCACATATATTTATGAGCACATATCAGCATCATAAAAAGTTCAAAAAACTATTACATTCAGCAGCACTGTCACGTATGTTTGACTGCTCAAGCAAGTGCTGGTAACCAACTCATGTTGTTCAATGCTAAAACAATTTAACGGGAAAGAAACTAACTTTCATTTAGTGTTGTTTCACTAAATGTTCAGAATCGTATGTAATAAAAACAAAAGCATACAACAGAGAGAGAATCACCTGTTGTTTGAATTAGTGGTTTACCTGTATCTAGTAACAAAGTAATGTAGGAATGTAGAAATTTCAGCTATTCCCAGTTCCTTTCCCGGACACTGCCTAGTGCCTCCTCCAAACATGAAGAAGTAGTTCTGCGACTCTGAGCTTTTGTCCTGCATTTGGCAGTCAAGGTTAAATTAGTTATTTCCTTACTCATTTGCGCTGTTATCAAGCCTACAATCAACTTACAACTGCTCACACATGAAATTTCAAATTTTAAGCTATATAAATCTAAATGGGTAACTTAGGAATTTATGATTTTTACTTACCATCCATCTCCATGGATTAAAGGCCAATGGGTCGGGATATAAACACGAGTCATAATTGTTTTCTCTTGTATAAACATACATTCTCCATCCTTTGGGAATGACAAACCCTGTAGAAACACAGAGACAGTGCTTTGATTTATCTATTTGTTAATGAAATCTTATATTTTACATGGCCAATTGGCTCATCCAGACCATTGAAAATCATATCATGCTAATAACATAAATCTCATGCTGAAAGGGTATTATAATGGTGGTGCATTCCTCTTTTATGATTGACCTAGCTAATAGTAGGGACCATTATATTTATATCGGTGTTTAGAAGATAACATAAGAGACTCACCATTCAGTTCCATGTCTTGCGTAGTCTTCCTTAAAACCCCATTAACAATTGTAGCTAATCTTGATGTCTCAAAGATCACCTGCACCCAATAAACACCAGATTAATCTAATCAATTTTCTTCAAGTTGAAACCTCTTTTTCAATTCCTCAGTTATACAAACACAGAAACGAGCATAGAACACCACATAAATTGACAAAATTTTACTAGATTCGTTTGATTGTCTATTTTAAAAACTATGTCTTTCCAAGTACATTGTGCCCGGTTCTGTGATCAGTTGCTAGCTAGGCTCAAAACTTCAAAAATACTCACAGAACGTGTAAAGTTCATCGACATGAAATCGTTCCAGTTGATTGGATCCTCTGCCCTTTTCCTTTCTCTTATCGCCAGATGCTCTTTCTGAAACACAAACATCCCAGTTAGATTTAAGAGCGCTCGAACACACAGATTACTATCTACGAGTGCAAAACATGTTGTCAAATCCACTTACCTTGAGTTCTTGAAAAACGTTAGGATGATCGTGGAGATACGTGACAGCCATCATAGAAGTAGTCGAAACAGTCTCGTATCCAGAATACAAAATTGCTATCATTTGATCAATTATCTCTTCATCTGTTAGATTATATCTGTTTTCTTCAACCCCCATTCATTACGAGACCAAGCATGTCATGTTTGGTTTCTTGGCAAGCTCTTCTTTCCTCTACGAGTCGTCTCAGCGTGCTAACAATGTTCTTTCTTGCTTGTGAGACATCTCAGTTAGACAAAACATACATACAGAAATATTTAAAACTGTAAAACATCGCTTCCAAATTTACGCCTTCATGTTAGTTGTTGGCTTGTTTTGAAATGAACCAACTGAGAGCCAAATATCCCTCATTCCGTTATTAATTTAGACTAAAGCACAAATTTTAAAAATTGATGATTAAACTGTAACATATCGGATACTTTAGATATCATTAGTTTAGTTGACTTAAAAGCAACATGTACTTAAGAAATAAGTTGTGGAGTTTACTTGGAAACCGCAGTGGTAATTTGTTCCGGGAAAGTTGATAGGCAGAGAAAGGGTTCCGAACACCAGCTTAAAGAATTCAGGCATGAATTCCCCAGACATTGACTTCCATTCAATACTTGCAATTTGGTTAAGTGACGACAAAAATGCCATCTGAACAACAAACAATGTGCAACACAAGTACCTTAAAAACAGTTCAACATTGTGAAAAAAGAAATAGAAAATGACTAAATCAAACACCTCTTTGGTTTTTTGTTGAATGTCAATGAGTGTGTTGTCCTAATTGATGAGGCGGCACCTCATGAAGCCATCAAGTTTGGGCAAGAGTTGGGACCTGATGATGGAGGGGCACAAGAGAGAAAGCAAAGCAACTCTGATGTGCCTGTGGGTGGAGCCATGAACAGTAGCAATGTTAGATTTGCCTAAGATGTCAAGCCTGGACTGTGGGTAGCCAGGTACAAGGCCTTTTGACTAATTCATGAGTATGTATCTGTTCGTTTCTGGGTCCATTGATACTATGGTGGGGCATCCCAGTATGTGTGATTTGAAAAAACTCCCATACCTTTTACAGTGACAGTAAAAAATATATATATTAACCCACTATGTATAGTGGTCTTCCATACTTATCAACTCCATGAAATCCATGAGGATAGCATTTCTTAACCTCTTTGTACTCTTCGAACTTAAATTCCTGTAGTATATATTAAACAAAGAATTCCACAATCTTAAATTGAATATGCATAGTTTTGGTGCTTTGAACTTCTCATCCTAAATATAGTATGATTTTAAAAAACTAATCAATCTTCTTAATTACAGACATTCAAGCTGATGTGTTTACTTGTCAGCTAACTCCTCAAACAATCAAAATACATGTGATCATATCAATGAATTAACCTATAATGAGACATCTATGCCATGGAGAGTTGTGTATGCCAGATGTGGAGACCTATTTTTGTCTCAAACTAGAATAACCCCCAAATCCTAGGACGTAGTGTCAAATCCTAGAGCATAGTGACACATTAATAGCACGAATTTTAGCAGATTGTAAAACTTAAATTTTACTTTTCCTTTCTTAATATGCTCCGCTTTTTCTTTCCTGGCTTTTGGTGCTAAATTAGAGGCATACTACAGGAACCATACAACTAAGCAGTTAGAATAATTTAATTTAACAATTTTGCAAGGTTTTACTATTATTTTTTTTATTAATTTTTTTTTTACTAATATGTTAAGTTCAATGAGGTAAGCATCATAATTTGTGTTTTTACAGTTAGGCATCATCAATATTCATAGAGAAACAGTCATTATCTTATCGTCATGATGCTTCCAACGGGCATCAAAAGCATATATTATACACAGGTTTCAAAATTCACCAACTCAAAAAAAAAGAGAGAGACACTTCCTGTCTAGACCTATCATAGTAATTTGAGTGAATGCATATTAGTACCTATTCTTCATAAGCAATAGCCTTTTCAAGGGAAAAAATTGAAAATAAATCAATTATATTATCTAAGGACTGCAAATATGACCTAGACTTCCACTCATGGGCATCAAAATAGTTCCAACAACAAATTGCTACAGGTAGATAGTTTGAAATTCACCTTTACAATTGTATCAACTTCAAATTCTTCTCGCTATTTAAGATATTGTAAAAACATATCTTTTGCTTTCATCAGATCGAAATCCCTCATTCGCAAAAATCTAACATGACATCATGGAAGAAAACCATTGTAAATATATGTAATAGTAAAATTACTCCAAACAGAACATCATCTTTGCCCGATTCACACTTCACCACACAGTACTCAAACAATGCTACATAAAGAGCTTAACAAACTTCATTGAAACTATTTCATCCCAGAAGGAGGCTAATTATTTATGTATGTAAAAATGTCACAGCAGAAACATACCGTAAAAGTGTGTGGTAATCACACCGTGTTTCCCTGGTAGATGGCCCTCGAGCAAAAGCAATTCACGGAAAGATTGAACAATTTGATCATCTTTTGGATCACGAGCTTCTTTGGGAACTGCTAGCAAGCTTTGGCTCTTTCTAATTCTCTTTAGTGAATCCCGAATCTTGAGTGGGTAAGACAACATGGACTTGCAATTTAAGTTTAATGAAGACAATTTCTTGTACTCCTTTTGAGGAGGTAAATTCCAATGGCTTTCTATAGGTGGATAGATAGATTTAGCTTTCTCTTTAGCAGAATTAGTATCCTCAAAACTAGAGGACTGCTTGCTCCCCACATAACCTTTTGATATAACTATTTCCTTATTTCTCTCCCTTGAATTATGCATATGTACTTATCAAAGCTATCGAGGAATGAAAAAGAATGAGAATTTCTTCTTTCACATCCAATCCTATTGTACCCAAATCATGGAGCTTCTTAATTTGATCATCTTTTGGATCACGAGCTTCTTTGGGAACTGCTAGCAAGCTTTGGCTCTTTCTAATTCTCTTTAGTGAATCCCGAATCTTGAGTGGGTAAGACAACATGGACTTGTAATTTAAGTTTAATGAAGACAATTTCTTGTAGTCCTTTTGAGGAGGTAAATTCCAATGGCTTTCTATAGGTGGATAGATAGATTTAGCTTTCTCTTTAGCAGAATTAGTATCCTCAAAACTAGAGGACTGCTTGCTTCCCACAGAATCTTTTGATATAACTATTTCCTTATTTCTCTCCCTTGAATTATGCATATGTACTTATCAAAGTTATCGAGGAATGAAAAAGAATGAGAATTTCTTCTTTCACATCCAATCCTGTTGTACCCAAATCATGTTCTTGCCTAGAAATTATCTATAACCAACATTTTAAAGTTATGTAACGGAAACATGCAAGAGCAGAATCTATAGCAGCAAGAACACAACAACTCCCTTCTAGAACTCTGTTGAATCCGAAGATTACCTGAATATAATAATAGAAGGTAAAGAAAACTGTCAAAAAAATTCTAATATGACTATTTCCCTAAATTTGTTCTTTGATTTATGCATATGCACATATAAAACGGACAATAACTTCTTCTTCTAAATCCAATCCTTCCATACCCAGATCAAGTTTATTTATTTATTTATTAAGTGACCTAGATTACAAAAAAAAGAATAACACTCTTGTTACATAGTACCTAATGTACGGAACAATATTACACAATAAAAGAGTTACAATTTTATATTAAAAAAATAATATTTAAAAGGGAAAAAACCACTTAATATTAATCCTTAATTCCTATTTAAAGGGAAAAAATAATATTTAAAAGGGAAAGAAATTGAAGGTACCTTTCCTACCAGTGAAGAGATTGAACTGTTCAATGGCTTGACGGAGGAACATTTCAACTCCACTGACAATGATGGCTCTAGCAGCCTCAGCTTCTTTTAACAGGGTGGTTTTTCTAGGCATGTAAACGGCATCAAAGACAACTTTGTAATCACCCAAAGTCCCCTAAAAAATGAAATACCAAGTGTTAATTACAATGCCCGAGTCAAAAATGTTGTTTGGTTGGAATGAAAATATGGGAAGGGACCTTGGCCACAGGAATTCGATCTGTATTTGGATGCATTCCCAATGGTGTTGCATTAGCAAGGATTGCACCTTTCTCTGGCTAGAAAGATACTGGATTTTCAAAAGGCTGAGCCTCACCCGACACAGCCAGAGCAAGAGTCTTTGCTCTGTCTTTTGAGATAGAACAATCAGGGTTAGAAACAAGGGCTCAAGTTCTCTTTCATAAGGCTGTCTCTACATCATCAGGTTACCAATCATAGCACGACGCATCAATGTATAAGAAAGCAGTTTCAACATAGTGATTGGCAACCCAATGAAATGGAGAGGGAGGACCTTGAGCCCCAGAACAAAATGTCAAAATATATGTATGATAAAAGAAAAGGTGACCACAAAGCTTTAAATTACATACCAAAATCAATGTCAAAAATGAGAACCCTCGCTCCTCTGTTTTTAGCACCAAATGCCAGTGCTCTTCCAGCCCCTCCAGCGCCAACAAGCACAAACATTTTCCCAGTGAGCGGAGATGGGAGCGATACTTCCCCATTAGTGCAATATAATCATAGAGCTCTGTTATTTTATCTTCATTATTAACTCTAATCCAAAGCATCATCTCATAGTAAGCTAATCTTAATAGTGAATTCAGATTCTACTCATAAATAGCTTCACAGAAATATACAAATTCTTGTACCATCTCCATGTTTGATTAAAAACATCTCAGAAATGGACCACAAGTTTCCTCCTCTAGTCACCAACTCACCATCAAGAATATACCTAGAGCACATTCATTTCATTTCACAAATCCTGATTAAACTTGTAAGTTTCTTGCTAAAAATTTCAATAACCAAATCGAAAGAGACGGGAAGGAAGAGAGAGAGAGAGAGAGAGAGAAATCAAAACCTCGCTGGTGCAAATGGTGGTGACAGTGCAGATGGTGGTTGGTTGCGGTGGAGCTTCGAAATCGAGAGAGAGAACTTCAAAATCGAAATCGCTCTGAGATCTCTGAGACCGATCTGAATATCTGAATCTCAAAGATGAAACTCTAAGAAATCAAGCATAGCCAAAGATGAAATCAGAACTAGAGAGAGAGAGAGAGAGTCGGTGGAGCTTTGAAATCGAGAGAGAGATCTTCAAAATCAAAATCGCTCTGAGATGAAATCGAAATCACTCTGAATCTCAAAGACGAACCTGTATGAATCTGAATCTCAAATAAAATCGTTCTGAATCGAAATCGCTCTCAAGGATTTAGAAACAATTAGGGGTGAGCAAGAGAGAGGCGCAATTTGAACGTGTGAGGATTCAAAATAAGGGTTTACAAAAGGCTTTAACAATCATTCTCAGCTTCAAAATGGGCTTCTTCAAAATCAAAATCGCTCTGAGATGAAATCGAAATCACTCTGAATCTCAAAGACGAACCTGTATGAATCTGAATCTCAAATAAAATCGTTCTGAATCGAAATCGCTCTCAAGGGTTTAGAAACAATTGGGGGTGAGCAAGAGAGAGGTGCGATTTGAAGGCGTGAGGATTCAAAATAAGAGTTTACAAAAGGCTTTAACAATATCATTCTCAGCTTCAAAATGGGTTCTGAGAGAGAGAGAGAGAGAGAGAGAGAGAGAGAGAGAGATCGCTCGAGATTTGCGCGTATAACATCTCAGATTCAAAATAAGGGTTTCAAAACAGAGGGAGAAAGGAGGCGCGTGAGGCTAACGGATTTGGAGGCGCTTTTAAACGCCTCCTATTATAAAACGGTGTCGTTTTGTTTAACGGCATATGCGACGTTTAAAACACGTCGTTAAATGTTGATAAAAGTGACGTTCAAAAAAATGTCATTAAAAAAACGCCACTATAACTCCTTTTTCCTGTAGTGATATAACCATAAATGTGATTACAATAATAAAATAAATACATATAAAAATTCTAAACCTGACATACACAACTAATCAAAATAATTAAAATCAATCTATCGTTTTTATATATATACAAAATCAAACTAACATCAAATAAATAAATAAAAATAAATAAATAAAAATAACGAATTAAACATAAATCAAGAGAAGTGGATTTCATACTTACAATTATTTTTCAATGATCAAAGAAATATTAAGAGGGTTAATAAAACCCCTAAAATAAACCCCTAAAATAAACCCCTAACCTTTTCTTTTTCTTTTTCTTTTTCTTTTTTTTTTCTCTCCCCATTGTTTCTCTGTTTTTCGGGTCTCTTTCTTGATTAATCTCTCACTCTCTCTCTCATTCTCACGGCTGCCGCACCCACACAGCCCCCTCTGTTTTTGTTTCGTTTTATCTTTTTTTTTTTTCTTTTTTCAACCCTTTCTAATGCTTATAACTTAATTGACTATTATACAATATTATATAAATACATATAAATATAACATATATAAATATAAATATAAGATCAATATATATATATATAAAACACCTTGTATGTATATAAAAAAAACAAAAAATCAATATATATATATAAATATTTAAATTAATTATATATAATTAAATAGTATATTAAATTAATTAAATATCACATTAGAGTTTATGTATCCACACAATTAATAAAACTAAAAATAAAATAAAATAATAATAACAATAATAACTAATGACTTAAAAAAATTAAAGCCGCTGCAGGGTGGATCTGATGGATCATGCCAGTGAGTTTGCCAAGGGCACTGCAGAGTTTCCTGCTCAACTCTCCAGTACATCTCAGAAGAATATTTTCGAACAGCGTGGCGAGATCCGAGTTAAGGTCACTTGGACTTGAGATCGACGCATACATAATATGTCACTAGTTTTGTATACTTTATAATCTTATTTTTAAATTATTCATTTTAAATCATATACACCTTGTATCGCATGGTTAATAGTAGTAGGACAAATTACACTAACAGTCCCTATAGTTTGAGAGTTGTCTCACTTTGGTTTATGACTTTTCAATTGTGACACGTTTGACTATGAATTTTGAATCTTATTCCAAATAAGGACAATTGAAGATACCATTGTTTAATTTCAAGGGCAAAATCGTCAATTTAATAATATATAAACTAATTTGACAAAAATAAATGCCAAAAAAATATTTTTAATTTTTTAAAAATTGTTTTTATCCACCAATGATAAAATTATGTAAAATTAATAAAAATTACATGATTAATTTTTAAAAATTAATTTTACATGATCATCATCTAAACACATAATAAAAATTAATTTAGTAAAATAAATAAATAAATGTCTAAGAGATTTATCAATTTTACATAATTTCATTTTTCGTGGGTAGAAATGATTTTTAAAAATTCAAAAATGTTTGTTTGATATTTATTTTTATCAAATTAGTTTATATTTTATCAAATTGACGATTTTACTCTTAAAAAATCTTATGATATTTTCAATTGTGCTTATTTGAAATAAGATTCAAAATTTATGATTAAATATATCACAATTAAAAAATAAAAAATTAAAGTAACACAAATTTCAAATTATAAGAAATATTAATGTAATTCACGCATAGTAATAAAAGCTGGCAACGGTCATGTTTTTTTCCTCTCCTAGCTGCTTCGGTCATTCATTTGTTATTAATTTGACCTTTCTTTTGGCTTTTTCTACTTTTCTATTACCTATAATAAAAAGGGCTAGAAAGGGCAAGGGCCATGTTTTTTTCCTCTCCTCTCTGCTCTCCATTCTAACCCGAAGGAAAGAAATGCCAAAGTTTATCACCTCCAAACGTTTGCACAACCGACTTAATACACCGTCTCATTCTCTTATAGCCTTTTTCACAACACACACTATATATAATTTCAAAAATAATAATGCTATAATAATTATATTTATTTATCATATTTTATTTATTATAATAGACTGATAATTGATATAAGTAATTTAATTTATTGAATCAACGAAATTTTATAAACACGAGGGTAAATAGAAGATATATAAACATGATCATGTAACTCATTCAACTAATGAAATTTTTTAATATGAGAGAAAAAATAAATATGATCTATAAATGTAGTTATTATATCATTATTTAAATATATCTTTATTTATCATGTTTTGTCTACCATCTTATGTGTTTTTTGTGGTTGATAGGTGATGGAACTCATTAAACCAATGAAAGTTTAACAAATGAAATAATAAACAAAACATGATATAAAAATATAGTCATCGTACTATTATTTTATCAAAATATGGAACATTGTGTATGATGAAGTTGATCAACAATAGCAATTGATAGTAATCATGAAAATGATCGAATGATGATGGAGATGATCGACATAAATAATTGATTTCACTGAATCTAAATGAAAAGAATTAATGATAAATTTGTTCTTTGATAGAAAATTTTCTTGTTACATGTTTGATAAATTTCATGATAATTTTTTTATTTAATTTTATTTCTTTTGATGAAAGTGGAGTGTTTGTGATGTGTTATGTCACTTTGTAATAAACAAATATAAGATGTGCACCTTTAAAATAATGTTAGGAGTTTAGTATAAATATTATGAATTATTTTAGTGAGTAGAGTTATGAATTAGGGTGATGTTTGTTACAAAATATCATAATTATAATATGTATATTATGGCACATTTTTTAAAATGCATACCATAACAACTTCCTTTAATTATAATGATTTTAGTGTTCTATAGTTCGCTATGAAGATGTTAAGTTGTGTCAGTCGGTATCCCCTCTCACATGAGATATGTATATATATATATATATAAATTAATCATATATATCCAACTTTTATCCATACTAGTTGGACCCCACGCACGCATTAAAGTTAGAGGGCTTATTTTCTGTATATGTATATCGTATCATATTATCTAGTGGGTCGCATTGAAATTAAGAGTGCTTATCTATTCTATTATTAACCACTACAACAAAAAGCAGTTTTGACGACCAAAAATGTAAATTTCGTCACTGAAAGTACGACAATTGGCGACAAAAATTGAATTAGTAGCCAAAAGTGAAGACTTTTGGCGACTAAAACAGTTTAGTAGCCAAATGTATACTTATTGGTGACCAAAAATCAGATTAGTCGCTGATTACATGGGTTTTAGCGACTAAAACAATTTTAGTAGCCAAAAGTAAAGGTTTTTGGAGACTAAAAAAATTAGTAGCCAAAGGTATAGGTTTTGGCGACTAAAAAATGGTTTGGTCGCCGATTGTAGGTGTTTTACCGACAAAAAAAAATGTTGTAGCAAAAGTAAAGGTTTTTGGCTACTAAAAAAAATTTAGTAGCTAAAAGTGGACAATTGGCGACTAAAATTGAGTTTAGTCAGCAAAAGTGACGGTTTTGGCGATTAAAAATCGGCTTGGTTGCCGAAAGTGGTTATTTTTAGGCGGAAATTAAATTTTTTTGCGACTAAATTATTGGGTAGTAGCCAAAACTAAGGTTTTTGGCGACTAAAAAAAAATTTAGTCGCCAAAAGTGGCTTCCTTTTTTTTTAATAAATAATTTATTTTTTACATAAAAATTATATTTGAATAAAAATAATTATGTTTATATATATAGTTTAATATTAATACAGGTCAATATAATATATAAATAATATATTTTGCATATACATTCATGTGATGTTATTGTGGCATAGTGGAGAGAGTGTGTTGCTAAAGGTTTAGAAAGTGGAAGGTTGGTGGTTCAAAACTTGGGAAGAGCAGAGGGTTAATTTTTTTTTTTTTTTTTTTTTGAAATAACCTTTTGGTGACTAAAACGGGTGGTCGCCAAAAGCTTCAATATTGGTGACGAAAAAAATATTCAGCAAATGTATAAATTAAAAAAAAATAATTCACTATTGGCGACTAAAAATTTAGTCGCCAAATGTATAATTTAAAAAACATAAATGAGCTTTGGCGACGAAAAATTTAGTCACTACAGACTTGGTTTTTGGCGACTAAAAGTTTGTTTGTTGCCAATACCTTTCGTGACAGTTTTCTAGCGACCAAGCCGGCGACTAAAAAATTTAGTCGGGAAAACTCAAAACTCAACTTTTGGTGACTAAAAATTCACTTTTAGCGACTAAATTTTAGTCGCCAAATGTGTTTTTTTTTTGTAGTGAATTTTGGTCTCATGAAGCCACTCTCCATAAACTTTTTCCAAATTTTCTTAAAATGACCCTAACTTTTTAAATAATTATATTATTTTTATATTTATCAGTTTGTAATTAAGGGTAAAATAATAAATTACAACCAATCCCACTTATCATGATACCAACCTATCTCACCTCCCACGTTTTCAAACTGCTATGCAGTTTTAAACAGTTTCAACATCTTCACCTCCCTCTCTATTTACTATAAAATCTTCTCTTTCATTTGTTCAATGATTTTTTTCTTTTTTGTTAGGAGAAATACTATTCAAGAACATTGCAATCTTATGGTTCTCTTTATTTGAAATATATATCTACTGCTCATCCTACATTGTAAGTGTAGTGTTGTTAATTATATTTTTATTTTCTTTAATAAAAAGTTTCATTATGTAATTAGGTTCTTTAGAGAAAAAAAAAATATTGATTGAGAACACTATTATGTATTTTTTTTCTTCATTAAAAAGTTTCATTGTGTGTTTTTGGAAAAAAAAGAAAAAGAAATCAGTGCTCATAATTTTGTGTGTGTGTGTTTTTGAAAAAAAAATCGGTATTTTCTGTATTTTCATTAAATTAATTTTTAGGTTCTTAATATTTATAAGTGTTTTTAATTAAACACTTTGACACCTATGTGCAATTTTTTAGAGACTTAAATAGTTTTGGATTTTTTCCTATTCACTACAAGAAAAAGCACCTTTGGCAACTAAATTTTTAGTCGCCAAAAGTCCGTTTTTAGTCGCCAAAAACCTTAGTTTTGGCTACTACCAATAATTTAGTTGCTAAAAAAATTAATTTCCGTTTAAAAATAACCACTTTCGGCGACTAAACTGATTTTTAGTCGCCAAAACCGCCACTTTTGCCGACTAAACTCAATTTTAGTCGCCAATTGTCCACTTTTAGCTATTAAAAATTTTTTAGTAGCCAAAAACCTTTACATTTGGCTACAACATTTTTTTTGTCGGTAAAACACCTACAATCGGCGACCAAACCATTTTTTAGTTGCCAAAGCCTATATTTTTGGCTACTAATCTTTTTTAGTCACCAAAAACCTTCACCTTTGGCTACTAAAATTGTTTTAGTCGCTAAAACCTATGTAATCAGCGACTAATCTGATTTTTGGTCGCCAATAAGTACACATTTGACTACTAAACTGTTTTAGTCGCCTTTTGGCTACTAATTCAATTTTAGTCGCCAATTGTCCTACTTTCAGTGACGAAATTTACATTTTTGGTCGCCAAAACTGCTTTTTGTTGTAGTGATTTCACTTTTTAAGCTATTGTTTCTTTTTGTGTATAAATTCAGTTTTTTTTTTCTTTTTTTTATTTATAATTTGATTTGTTTGTTTGTTTACTTTTGTGAGAACACTATTATGTATTTTTGTTCTTCATTAAAAAGTCTCACTGTCTGTGCATTTTGAAAAAAAATAAAAAATCAGTGTTCTTAATTTTGTGTGTGTATTTTTGAAAAAAAAAATCAGTGTTTTTTGTGTTTTCATTAAATTAATTTTTAAGCTCTTAATTCATATTTATGCAGGCTTCTTTGAATAATTTGGCACCATGTGTGTATGAATTTTTTTAGATTAGACTTAGACGTAAATACTTTGGGGTTTTTCTTTTTGGCTATTTTAGTTTTTCAAGCATTTGTTTATTTTTTGTGTATAAATTCAGTTTTTAAAAATTTGGTTTGTTTGTTACTTAATTGTTTGTGTTTTTAAAAAATATTCAGTGTTCTTAAAAAAAAAATTCAGTGCTCTAAGTGCCTTGGATTTGTATTTTTGTATTTGTCTTTTTATGTAATATTGTTAATTATACTTTCTATAAAATAAATGTTTCATTATGTTATCAAGTTATAAAAATAAATAAAAAAATAAAAAATAAAAAATAAAAAATTTGACTATTATTTTTCTTCTTTTTATCAAAATTTGTGATTGTGGGTTTATTATGTTTTCAAAAAATTGATTTGTTTGTTTCCTTAATTTTGTGTGTGCCTTTCTTTATAAAGATTTGTACATATTTTACTATATATATATATTTTATTTATCAAATATCAAATATATTAATATCAAATGTTATATTGCACATAATTATATATATGTACATTATTTAAAAAAATGTCAATTTCATATTATAACTTCAAATGAGTTTGCACACGCATCGCGTGTGCCTCGGCCGCTAGTTTTCTATATAGGTATATCGTATCAAATAAATATAACAAGTACATGACAAAAGAATTTATTAGCAATAGATTAAGTCATAAGCATTTCTATTTATGCACATTCTCCATATTATGCGCCTATTCCCTATTTCCTTTTTTCTTTTCAAATATTTATCCAAATTTATGATCCAAACAAAATATATAAAGAAATAATGAAAAATGTATTACAAATCATTCTATAGACAAACTAAAAATTAATTGTTCCATTACATTTTATTTCATTCTAAAAAACCAAATACTACACAAGTGATTATCATACAAATCTACCGAAGAATAAGATGTAGTTTCAAATCATCATACAAAATAAATAGAAAATAGAAACATAAATCTTATATTAGGTTGTTCTTTGAATCAATCATTGTTATTCATGCTGCAAAAAAATCAATGTTATTCATATTCCTAGGGAGTCTATTGCAAACAAGCCTGTTTGGGCATTCACTGGGCATAGGGATTATACGGTTAAATCAAGTTAATTAAGAGGTGTAGACTCGAACTCGAGGATAGATGAGTTTCAGGTAAAACTAGATAGTAGCATCTCTAATGGTGTTTATTAAAATAGCATTGTTATTGTTATAATTTGGTAATAAATAGTGTTATTTTGTCAAATTATAGTAATGGTGCTCCAATGATCAAATGCTATTTTAGCAAATCTCAACTAATTTTTCCTCCAAATTTGTATGTATTGTTTGGATATAGGTTTTTTAATGATTTTTTTTTTGGGTCTATTTTTTGTCTTTTATGACCTTTTTAAATTATTTCTAAAAAAAATTATATATTTACATTATTTCTGGCTAGATAAATATAAAAAATTTAAAAAATTGAAAAGTTAAAAAAATATATATATAATTTACCCCACATTATACATTGCAAAAAAAAAAATTATATTAGAACATAAAAAGAGCCGTTGCTCAATTTTTGTATTTCCAAGGACAAAGAGCATTGTTGGATTAAACAATCCAACGGTCCACATTAATCCTCATCTCGCTGTCACTTTATCTCTCGTTTATTCCAAAACCACCACCCCCTACTCTATCTCTCTCTCTCTCTCTCTCTCTCTCTCTCTCTCTTTACCATCTCCTAATTAATGCAGAGCCATGTCATATTCTAGTAACTATTATTCTAGCGGTGAGAGCTTCGACTTGAGGTATGAGGCTTTGAAATGTGATTGTAGGCTAAGAGCTACCATAAGGGTTACCAAGTCTGACAAGCCATCTAAAGGGAGATTGTATTTTATTTGTGAGAAGAGAAATTGTCAATTTTGGAGGTAGTGTACCCCAAAATCTATGACGATGGTAGAGAGGCTGAGGAACGAGAGAATGCTCGATCAAAATCAAAAAATGGAGACTGTAGGATTAAAAGTGAATAACCAAATGCTTGAGCAATCCAATGCTTTCATGAAGTAGCTTGTTGTGGGTCTGCTCACGATTTGTATTGTTATGTCAGTTGCATTACTCTTCAAATGATGACAGGTGCTATTTAGAGATACCTGGTGTTTTTGTGCTAATGTAGTTTACCATGAACTATTGTACTAAGCTTTGTACCCAATGAATGTTGACGTAGTTGCCATGTGTGGTTATTTTGTACTGATTTAGCTATTGTAATGCAAGCATTGATGAATGAGTTTGTTTTTTTTAAAATTTTTTTTTTCATAGAATGAGTACCTAAGAGAAAACACAATCTGAAAATAGAAAGAACAAGGAAAAATCAAGTCAAGTACCAGCCATTAAAGCTCACTGGGATACAAAATCAAATGAAATTTTTATTAAGCTTTGTGTTGAGCAAGTGAAGGTTGGACACAGAACTGGTACACACTTAGATAGGGTCGGGTGGGAAAATGTGGTAACTAAGTTTAAAAGTATGACTGGAAAAGCATACCAATGAATACAAATGAAAAATCATTGGGATGTGTTGAAAAAATATTGGCTTCTATGGAATAATTTGTTAAGGGGTGAGACAAGCTTAGGCCGTGATACATTGACTGCAGCTATATCTGCATCTGATGACTGGTGGACCAAGAAATTGGAGGTAAGTGAATTGCTTAATGTACATATTCAGTTTTTTTTTTTTTTTTTTTTAACAGACCAAATTTTGTTACTTGAAATTGTTAAATTTTCCTTTGTAATTGTTGTAGACGTATCCTGATGCTGCTAAATTTTGGCGTATGCCGTTGTAATTCACTGAAGAGTTAGACACACTATTCTCAGATGCAGCTGTTACAGGAGAATGGACATACACTCCTAGCTCAGGGGTTATGCCTCACACTGATGAGATTGTGGAGGAATTCCGTACCCCACATGATACTGAATTTCATGATGATGCTAATTTTGAGGTGGTTCATCCTTCCGAGTTAAACAAAAAACGTCCATCAAACACTGATAGTTCATCAACTAAGAGTAAGACAAAGAAGAAATTTACTGGTGCTGCTCTACTTAACATGACACTTGATCGTATAGTCAATGTGGTTGAGTCATCTTCAGCAACTTCAACACAGACCTCATCAAGATATTCTTTAATTGCAGAATGTTTGGCGAAGTTGGAAAGCATCCCTGGTGTGTCCCTGGATGATGAGCTGTATGTATGGGCTGTCAGATTGTTCTTACGATACAAGCGTCATGAGTGCTTCATGACTCTTCCTACGGATGAAGTTCGACTAGGATTTCTAAAGTTGGAGATTGAGATAGAGAAGACCACCACAGGTTATCACGGCTAATTGTTTCTAAACTTGGATGTTTCTGAATTTCCTAATTATTTCATGTTTAAGAACTTTATTAAGACTTTTATTATTAATTGTAGACTGTTGTTTTGGAGTCATTATTTTTTTTTTCTTTTATTGATATTGACTATGTTGGACTTTTATGTTAGATTCATTATTTGGACTTTTATTGATATTTTGTTGGACTTTGTTAATTGAATGGTTGAATGGTTGGTGGGTAGGTGGCATTTTCTTAGTTGAATGGTAGGTGAATGGTTGACTTGTTGAATGTTAGTTGAATGGTTGAATGGTTGATTTTAATCTTGAATATGAATGGTTGGTGAATGGTGAAGACTTCTATATATATGTAGATGTTCTTTTCTGACTAAGCTACCACTACTAAATTTTTTAAAAGGTTTTGACTTGTCTTTGAATTTTCCAAGAGTTGAGAAATAACTCCATCTTACAAACTATATTAGAGTGAGCTGATATTAAATTCAAGAAGTTTAAATATTCATTGCTGAAAATCGATAATTCTTTCTCTATTTTTTTCCATATTATTCTTATTTTAAATCTCTTGTCTTTCTTATATATTTGTAGCTGATGGAGTTCTCTATATCCTGATAATCACAAAAATGAATTCTCTTTCTGTGTCTTCACTTTCTTTTTTTTTTTTTTTTCTTTTTCTTGAATACACTATATAACTTGTATAGCTGTGTGGGAATTCTCACCAGTTATCCTTTGGAAGTATGACAACTTATCTTCATCAAACTTCATTTTTTTATAACTGTCTTCCACAACCATTGTTCTTCCTTGCTTTCTTTCTTTGTTCACAGACCTGAAACAACACTAGAAATTCTAAGCTTTAATCCATTAAAAAATTGTTTGAAGACAGCATTATTGTGAAATCTAATGCTACTCCAACTTAAAATCTATATGGGAGGCAAAAACTAATGGCCAAAGGAAATGATTTTCTATATGGAACTTTGAGTACATGTACTTTTCATGGTATTTAAAATTTGGTTTTATATTTTGTCCTCATATGACATGATTCAAGTGTTATGTGTTTAGTGGCTACTATTGTTATGGTTTTGTTTATTATAGATTTACTTGATTCATGGTATTTAATCTAATTAAAATTGGACTAAAATTGTATGGACTAAATTATTAAAATTGAAAATGAAATTTGAGTTAAACTATGAGATTAATTTTGCTTGACGTCATGATGATTTATAATCCTTAATTTGGACTAAAATCTAATTAGAAGAAAGCAAGGTCATTCTTGTAATAGTAACTAAGCCTTTAAATAAGTAAGTATTTTGGAGATAAGTATCAGTGGTGACGATGAATGAAATGATGATCACCATGATGAAGATACTGAAGATGAAGGCAGCACATTGCAAACCCAACAACATAATAATATGCTCTTAGCTACAGCGACAACAGTTGCAATGGCATATGCGACAAATTATTTGATAAAAGAACCATGTAGGACACCTAGTTTAATAGGGGGAATTGCATGGTAGAATTACAAGAAGGGAATAGGACAAGAATATTTGAAAATTTTCGAACGGAAAGAGAGGTATTTTATCAATTGTGTGATTTGTTACAGACAAAGTATGGCCTTGAAACTGGACGAAAAGTCTCGATTCAGGAGTAAGTTGCAATATTTTTGTATATTGTTGGCAGTGACATTCAAAGTAGAAATGTCCAAGAAAGATTTCAACATTCCTGCGAGACTATTTCAAAATACTTCTCGAAGGTGTTAAAAGCTGTTACAATGATGTCTATTGATTGGGTAAGGCCTCAATCGAGAAATGGTGTGCATCTATATATTCGAAGCAAGCGCACATATTATCCTCATTTCAAGGTAAAACAATAATTACCTGTGGAACTTGGGTGTTACATATAATAATGTTCGTAGGATATTTCTAATAATCTGTGACTAAAAATATTTTTATTAACTATTTTGTAAGAGGATTGTATTGGAGCAATTGACGAAACACACATCAAAACATATATATCTCCAGATAAGCAACCTCGTTTAATAGGTAGAAAGGGGTATGCAACTCAAAACATAAAGGCCGCATGTGACTTTGATATGTGTTTTACATTTTGCTTACCAGGATGGGAAAGAAGTGCACACGATACTCGGATCTTCTTGGATACAATTAGGAATCCTAGTTATAATTTTCCAAAACCACAATGACGTAACTGTTTTATATTTGATTGCTACAGTAGATGCACCACACTCACATCTCCATATTTATTTTTACATTTATAATTGTTTACTTTAATTTCATCTTAGAATTTTAAAATAAATGAGTTTTACTTGGTGGATGTTGGGTATCCAAACATGAAAGGATATCTTGCACCTTACAAAGGAAAGAGATACCATCTAGCTCAATTTGAACATGGTCAACCCCTCAACATGTACAAGAAAAATTCAACTAGGCACATTCATCACTTAAAAGTGTAATAGAAAGAACGTTTGAGGTTTGGAAAGCAAAATGGCCAATGATAAATGATATCCTACCAAACTACAAGTGGCTAACCCAAGTCAAACTTGTTTGTGCAACAATGGCAATTCATAATTTCATTCGACGAAGTGAGTTCTGCGATATTGCATTTGACTCTTATGATAGATTCACGGATTATGTGCCTAATGAAGAGGACGGATCTTCGTTTCAACAAGCACGCCATAGAAATGATGCTGCATGTGATGACAACGAGATGGAAGTGAGGAGACATAATATTTGTATGTCAATTTGCATACGAAATTAGGAGTTCTTTAAATATCTTGGAAGTTTTATTTTTATTGCTTTAATAGTAATTTATTATATTTTTATTTCAATGACATTTTTTTGTTCCCTTGTGAACCCAATATTATTAAAAAAATAAAATAAAAAATAAAAAATTTGAGGTATAATGTAAAAATGTACCAAATTAGGTACTAATTAATCAACTTCCATTAATGAAATAACTTCTTCAAAATTTAAAGTGAAGAAAATGAAAAAATTACAATTTTTATGTTCATAAGGGCAAAATGATGATTACACAGCAAAAAGTTATTTTACAGCTTATTTACCAAACACTACTCTGCTGCTTAAATCTATAATTCCCCAGTTACACCAAACAAGTTACCAGCTCATGCTCACAACTATAAGCTATAATCTCTTAAGTTATAATCTATAATTACTTTTCCACAGCTCTACCAAACGGGCCATACCCATGTTGGTCTCATTCTTCTTGTTTCTCTTGCTAGCCTTTGCAACTTCCTCAGTTCCCTCTGAATCAATTGATCTTCCAAACTGCTTCATCATCCATGTCTCCAAATCTCACAAACTCACCTCATTCATCTTCCATCAACACTGCAGTGAATGGCTTCTTCACCCATGACGTCAATGGCTTCTTCACTCGCCTCATTGCCTCCCAAGCCACCGACCTCTGTCGTGTCCCCAACATCCTCTCTGTCCTTCCTGGCCTTCACAACCTACTTCAAATCCTCATTTCTCCCTATGAAAATCTCAGGCAAGGTTTGTAATAAAAGCTCGTAGTGAAGAAACCTCTACCCATCTCTAGCTCTTTGCCCATCTTCATTTCTCTTCCTTGCCCTTATTAATTCGTCCTCAGTAAAGAAACCCCTTCGTCCTCAACAATTGAAACCCTAATGAAGAACACGAAGAAGATCAACCCTACAAAATACCATTTCTGTTAGGTATTTATTTTTATTTTTTTTTGACTTCACTGTGTGTATTTTTTAATTTTTTTACTAGAAATTGCTAAAATTGAAATTTTACTAGCTTGCTTCTGTTTGAAACTGTTCAATTTTGGGTGAAATTGGGTGAAAATTGCTTTTGTGTTTGAAATTTGGTGAAAATTGCTTCTGTGTTTGGAAAGGATGACGAGAAATGGAGGAAGAGAGGGAGGAAACGGTTGGTTGAAGCTAACTTAGAAGCTTTGGCAGCTGCCAAAGCTTGTGCCATATTTGACACAAGTTTTGACATTTGCCAAAGATAGCAGCTACTAAAACTTACCATTGGAGGTGGCTTTTTATAAATTGTTGCCTTAATTTGGCAATAGTAGCTCCAATGGCAAGCCATTGGAGATGCTTATATGGAACAAATTTTTTGCCTACTGAAAGTGAAAAATATTTTTTGCTTACATTATACAAAATAAACAGAAAATAGAAACATAAATCTTACATTAGGTTGTGCTTTGAATCAATCAATGTTATTCATATTCCTAGGGAGTCTATTGCAAACAAGCCTGTTTGGGCATTCACTAGGCATAGGGATTATATGGTGAAATCAAGTTATTTAAGAGGTGTAGGCTCAAACTCAAGGATAGATGAGTTTCAGGTAAAACTAGATGGTCTTATATGGAACAAATTTTTTGCCTACTAAAAGTGAAAAATATTTTTTGCTTAAATAGATTTATTATTCATTAATCATGAAAAAATATTTTCCATTAGACATTGATTTTTCATTGTAACAAATATCAAAAAAAATATAAAAATATTTTCTAAAAAATATTTTTCCCCCAATCAAATGGAGCATAAATGGGCTACCTTCATTATTCAATCGATTGCCACGTTGTGGGCTATTTGGATTCATCGAAATCATCTCAAGGGCCCTAGTCTTCCTATTTTGCATACAATTGATTGCGCAAATGGTTTCTTTCAAAAAGTCAGCAGTAGTAATTTGATAAAGTCATTTAATCATTCTCCTGCTTTGAATCACCTCCGCATGTATGTATTTTGATTATCAACTGTTTACTTGAGAGCTTTTTCAAGTTCCTCACTCCCTACCATTAAGCGGCTGCACATTTAAGATAAAATATGAGAATCTTCCAGATGGAGACTTATCAAGAAAACGTAATTCAATTTTGAAATCAGAAAAAGTAAGTTAGGAGAGAATTACACAAGAAAGTAACCACAATAACTAGTTTATATGTGCATAGTAGGTAACTTCAGATGTTGGTAACCTTCATAAGCAGCTAATTCCAAAACGTGTGGG